GTAATAAATCCATGTCCTATATACGCGAATATGAGACACACTCGCTCTATATTCACATGTACACCGTTATCCACTGTTATCTAGTGTCATCTACCGTTATCCACTGTTATCTAGTGTCATCTACCGTTATCCACTGTTATCTAGTGTCATCTACCGTCATCTAGTGTCATCTACTGTCATCTACCGTCATCTACTGTCATCTAGTGTCATCTAGTGTCATCTACCGTCATCTAGTGTCATCTACCGTCATCTAGTGTAATCCACCGTCATCTAGTGTCATCTAGTGTCACCTACCGTCATCTAGTGTCATCTACTGTCATCTACTGTCATCAGGGAAGATTTATTGGTTATCGAATTTAATTGTTATCGAAAGCATTGCCATTGTTATCGGTTATCGTGGTTATCGACATCGAAGATGATGTTATTTATTGTTATTTTATTGTTATTTCATTGTTATTTTATTGTTTTAATTGTTATTTTATTATTTTATTGTTATTTTATTGGTCGGTCATTGTTATTTACTGTTATCTTACTGTTATTGTTATTCCATTGGTTATCGCCTATTGTTCATTTACTGTTATTTCATTGGTTATTTATTGTTATCATTGTTATCGCATTGCTTGTCGAGAGACGCATTATTATCGAAAGAAACATTGTTATTTCCATTGTTATTTATTGCTTCGTTTATTGTTATCGACATTGTTATCTGTTATTTCCAGCATTGTTATCGGTGGTTATTCCATTGTTATTTGTGGTTATTTGTGGTTACCATTTGTGGTTATTCCCATTGTTACTCTATTGCCATTATTTATTGTTATTTTATTGTTATCTAATATTTCCATTAAGCATTTAGTAATATTTCATTGTTATTTTAGGTTATTTCATTATTTTAGTTATACTTTGGTTATTTGTGGTTATTTCATTGTTATTTTAGGTTATTTTATTGTTATTTTATTGTTATTTACTATTATTGTTATTTCCAGGTTATTTCATTGTTATTTGTAGATTTTATTATTTGTGATTTTATAGTTGTAGTTTTATTGTTATTTTATTGTTATTTGTGGTGCATATTTATAGTTATTTGTTGTTATTTTATTGTTATTTTCATTGTTATTGTGTTATTTGTGGTTATTTCATTGTTATTTATTTTATTGTTATTTCATTGTCATCCAGGTCATCTACCGTCATCTGTAATCCATCCACCGTCATCTACCGCTTCATCTACCGCCGTACCTGCGCCGTATTCCGTCGCGCCATCAGCATCCACCGCTACCCACCGTCATCAGTGTCATCTAGTGTCATCTACCGTCATCTACCGTCATCTACCGTCATCTACTGTCATCTACCGTCATCTACCGTCATCCACCGTCATCCACCGTCATTTACTGTCATCTACCGTCATCTACCGTCATCTACCGTCATCTAGTGTCATCTACCGTCATCTAGTGTCATATACCGTCATCTAGTGTCATCTACCGTCATCTAGTGTCATCTACTGTCATCTACTGTCATCTACCGTCATCTACCGTCATCTAGTGTCATCTACCGTCATCTAGTGTGATCTACAGTCATCTAGTGTGATCTACAGTCATCTACTGTCATCTACTGTCATCTAGTGTCATCTACAGTCATCTGCTGTCATCTACCGTCATCTAGTGTCATCTAGTGTCATCTAGTGTCATCTACCGTCATCTAGTGTCATATACCGTCATCTAGTGTCATATACCGTCATCTACTGTCATCTACTGTCATCTACTGTCATCTACTGTCATCTACCGTCATCTACCGTCATCCACCGTCATCTACTGTCATCTACTGTCATCTACCGTTATCTAGTGTGATCTACAGTCATCTAGTGTGATCTACAGTCATCTACTGTCATCTAGTGTCATCTACAGTCATCTGCTGTCATCTACCGTCATCTACTGTCATCTACTGTCATCTAGTGTCATCTAGTGTCATCTACCGTCATCTAGTGTCATATACCGTCATCTACCGTCATCTAGTGTCATCTACCGTCATCTAGTGTAATCCACCGTCATCTACCGTCATCTAGTGTCATCTAGTGTCATCTACCGTCATCTACTGTCATCTACTGTCATCTACTGTCATCTAGCGTCATCTACCGTCATCTAGTGTCATCTACTGTAATCTACTGTCATCTACCGTCATCTACCGTCATCTACTGTCATCTACTGTCATCTACTGTCATCTACCGTCATCTAGTGTCATCTACAGTCATCTACAGTCATCTAGTGTGATCTACAGTCATCTACTGTCATCTACTGTCATCTAGTGTCATCTAGTGTCATCTACAGTCATCTGCTGTCATCTACTGTCATCTACCGTCATCTAGTGTCATCTAGTGTCATCTACTGTCATCTACCGTCATCTAGTGTCATCTACTGTCATCTGCTGTCATCTACCGTCATCCACTGTCATCTAGTGTCATCTAGTGTCATCTACCGTCATCTAGTGTCATCTAGTGTCATCTACCGTCATCTACAGTCATCTACTGTCATCTACTGTCATCTAGTGTCATCTACTGTCATCTACTGTCATCTACCGTCATCTACCGTCATCTAGTGTCATCTACTGTCATCTACTGTGATCTACAGTCATCTAGTGTGATCTACAGTCATCTACTGTCATCTACTGTCATCTAGTGTCATCTACAGTCATCTGCTGTCATCTACTGTCATCTACCGTCATCTAGTGTAATCCACCGTCATCTACCGTCATCTAGTGTCATCTAGTGTCATCTACCGTCATCTACCGTCATCTACCGTCACCTACCGTCATCTACCGTCATCTACCGTCATCTACTGTCGTCTACCGTCGTCTACCGTCATAGTGTCATCTACCGTCATCTAGTGTCATCTAACGTCATTTAGTGTCATCTAGTGTCATCTACCGTCATCTAGTGACATCTACCGTCATCTAGTGTCATCTACCGTCATCTAGTGTCATCTACCGTCATCTACCGTCATCTACTGTCATCTACTGTCATCTACCGTCATCTAGTGTCATCTACCGTCATCTACCGTCATCTAGTGTCATCTAGTGTCATCTACAGTCACCTACTGTCATCTACCGTCATCTAGTGTCATCTACCGTCATCTAGTGTCATCTAGTGTTATCTACCGTCATCTAGTGTCATCTAACGTCATTTAGTGTCATCTAGTGTCATCTACCGTCATCTAGTGTCATCTACCGTCATCTACCGTCATCTAGTGTCATCTACAGTCATCTACTGTCATCTACCGTCATCTAGTGTCATCTACCGTCATCTACTGTCATGTACTGTCGTCTACCGTCATCTAGTGTCATCTACCGTCATCTACCGTCATCTAGTGTCATCTAACGTCATCTACCGTCATCTAGTGTCATCTAACGTCATTTAGTGTCATCTACCGTCATCTACCGTCATCTAGTGTCATCTTATTATTATTATTATTATTATTATTAAAACTTATTTACAAACAATAACCCTTCAGCCTACGCTGCTTTTAAAGGGGTTGTTTACATAAAAGAAAGTACAAAATAAATATTTACAAAATAGTATAAGTATTTACAAAATAGTGTAGTTGACTAGGAGTCTTTACAATTGGATATTTTTTTCAACGTAGGTGATTGTTGAGCTTAGTTTTAAAAGAATGTATCGTCAACTGTTCGTGAACGTCTAAGATTTCGTTAGGTAATGAGTTCCAGGCGGAAGCTCCTCGATATGAAAATGACTTTTTCATAAATGATCTATTAGGTTTATCGAGAGTTAGTTTCCGCCCGTTGCTCCGCATGTGGTGACTTCTATTATCACAGTAGGAGAACATATTACAGATGCACTCCGGCGCTATACCTCGGATAGCCTTAAACGTAATTAGAAATTCTCTTTTTTTAAGAATGTTATCTATTGGATGCCAACCTAGACTCTGGAGGATTGTTTTTGATCTTGTTTCATAGTTTAATCCAGTAATTATACGAGCGGCTCGCTTTTGTAATTTATAAAGTTTTTCCAAATTTGTTTTGTTTCCATCGTTCCAAACTGTCGAACAGTATGTAAAGTAAGGAACTACCAGGGAATTGTAAATACGGAGTAAGTCGTTGTAAGGTACGTGTGGTTTTGCCTTTCTAAGCAGAGCTATTGCACCTGAAAGTTTTTTGCATTGCTCATTAATGTGTTCAGTCCACCTTAGTTCGTTATCAATTGTAATACGTAAGGGTTTTTTTTGCTTAACTTGTTTAATAATGGATCCGTTTATATGTATACGAATATCAGTGCGAAATTGATTAAGTTTTCTTTTTGAGGCTATTATCATAAATTCTGTTTTGTCTGTGTTCAATGTCAACCTATTTGCTTCTAACCAGTCGTTAACATTGGATAAGTCAGCGTTTAGTTTGTGCTCGATTTCGGCTGGGGTCCTTCCTGTGCATGATAGATTGGTGTCATCAGCAAACATGGATGCTTGTGTGTACTCAAGGCACATTGGTAAATCATTTATGTACAATGAGAATAGCAATGGTCCCAGATTGGAACCCTGTGGTACTCCACATTGAACTGTTTCTTGGCCTGACTTGTTATTATTAATGACACAAACTTGTTTTCTGTTGTTTAAGTAAGATGCTAGTAATTTTAGAGGAGTACCCTTTATACCATATTGGTATAGCTTTTGTAGGAGAATAGAGTGATCAACCGTGTCAAACGCTTTTTTAAGATCCAAAAATAGCACTCCATTTGCCATTCCTTTATCCATGTTGCGTAGCCATTGATCTGTGCATTTTAATAGGGCAGTTTCTGTAGAATGATTTGGTCTAAAGCCAAATTGCTGTTTACAAATGATGTCGTTGTCATTGATATATGAACTTAATTGGTCGTATATAATCTTTTCAAGGATTTTGGCGACAGTAGGAATTACAGATATAGGCCGGTAGTTTCCGCATTCCGCCTTGTCACCTTCTTTATGAATAGGTATTATTTTAGCAAGTTTTAAATCATCTGGGAAAATGCCAGTGCCCAGTACAAGGTTAAAGATATGTAGTAAGGAGTCGTGAATGGCATCTCCTGCTAGTTTAATTAGTTTAATTGGTATTTTGTCTAGACCTGGGGCCTTGTTTAAGTTAGTTTTCCCAATTGTTTGAATTAATTCTGTCGTTGTTATTGTTCTTAAGTTAAATTCAGATCTACAAGGCTGAATAGGTTGTATAGGGTCTATGTCTGTAGGAGAAATAACGGAAGCAAGTTTGGGTCCAATTTCTACAAAGTAGTTATTAATTGTATTTGCTATGTTGATATCACCTGTAATATTTTGGTCTCCAAATTTAATGTTGTTGATCGTCTGAGTTTTGACCGTTTTGTGGTTTAGCAGTTTGTTTATGTGAATCCAGTTTTCTTTGCAATTTTTGCTGTTTTCGAGATTGGTTCTAAAGTAGTGAGTTTTTGCATTGCTAATAAGTTTAGTTACTTTGTTTTTACATTTTTTGTATGAACTATGAAAGGCAGAGGAACTTAATATGACTGCTTTCTTTTTTAAGTAGTCTCTGTGAAAGCTCAGTTTTTTAATTTCATCAGTCATCCACGGTTGTCGGTCACTTCTCACTTTTCTCAATCGTGTAGGAGCATTTATATCAGCTATCAGTAGAAAAATTCTGTTCCATTCCTGTAGGGCCGTATTTGGATCTGAATGTTCATTAATATGTAGTAAAGCTTGTTTTAAATCGTTTTGGAATTTCGCATTATTTAGTTTATGGTATTGCCTTGTTTCAATAATTTTGGGTTTTTGTTTACATATTCCGACCTTTCTACAAGTGTAGACTAGGTTGTGGTCGCTTATACCTAGCTCAACAACGTCCGTTGTAGCGGTTTTTGGGTCGTCAGTTTTACAAATTATTAAATCTAAGAGCGTCTTCGTTGATTCTGTTGTTCTAGTAGGCTTTTTAATAAGTTGAGACAATTGATATGTGTTTAGTAATTCTTTAAGCCTTTTTGCCTTACTATTCTCGGTCTCACTGGGCATTAAATCTATATTAAAGTCTCCAGTTATTATAATTTCTTTATTTTCTGTGTCAATGTTTTGAAGAAAGATTTCAAAAGAGTCGAGAAACTCAGAATTGGAGTTTGGTGGTCGGTACCACGTCGAAATGAGTATTGGCTTGGCATTCGGCTTTCTTACTTCGATACATACTGCCTCTACATTTTCAGGGATTATTGTTGACCTCTCCACGTATGGTATGGTATTACGTATGTATATTGCTACACCCCCACCGCGTCTATTTCTGTCACGTCTTGTTAAGTCGTATCCCTGAAGTCCTATTTCTGAGTTCTTAATTGTTTTGTCAATTCTTGTTTCATTAATACATAGTATGTCAAAGTTCATTTCTGTTATGAGAATCCTGAGTTCGTCAATATGTTTAGTCAGACTGGTAATATTTAACTGCGCAATTGAAAAGCCCTTAAGTTTTGGATATAGTTTGCTTTGGTTATCCGTTCTAGTGTCATCTACAGTCATCTACTGTCATATACCGTCATCTAGTGTCATCTACCGTCATCTAGTGTCATCTAGTGTCATCTACCGTCATCTACTGTCATCTACCGTCATCTAGTGTCATCTACCGTCATCTACCGTCATCTAGTGTCATCTAACGTCATCTACCGTCATCTAGTGTCATCTACCGTCATCTAATGTCATCTACCGTCATCTACCGTCATCTACCGTCATCTACTGTCGTCTACCGTCATCTAGTGTCATCTACCGTCATCTACCGTCATCTAACGTCATCTACCGTCATCTAGTGTCATCTAACGTCATTTAGTGTCATCTAGTGTCATCTACCGTCATCTAGTGTCATCTACCGTCATCTAGTGTCATCTAGTGTCATCTAGTGTCATCTGCCGTCATCTAATGTCATCTACTGTCATCTACCGTCATCTAGTGTCATCTACCGTCATCTACCGTCATCTAGTGTCATCTACAGTCATCTAACCAAAACCAGCGGAAAAATACGGCTGACGACATTATAACACTACTAAACAATGTGCATGATCATCCATTCATCCAAGCGATTATCCAAACAAAAGGGAAACCCCCAGCAGTTATTCTGTACTTAAAGGAACAAATAGACGAAATTAAGATGTTTTGTTCGTCCGATGCAACTCATCCTGGTGTGTTAAGAGTGGACAGGACATTCAACCTCGGTCCATGTTATGTTACTATACTTTGTTATCAGCAAAATAATTTAATCCGCAAAGGCACGCAGAATCATCCAATCATGCTAGGACCAGTATTTTTACACTGGGATGGACTCTATCCTACATACCATGGCTTCTTTTCGCATTTAAGAAGTCAAATGGATGACAGTATCAATGGCATTCAGGTTGGTGGTCGTAATCTTCTGGTGGGATCTGATGAAGAAAAAGCTCTAACAAAAGCAATGAAACAGTCATTTCCATCCTCACATCACATTCTCTGCCGACGTCACATCGAAGAGAATGTGAAACGTCATCTCCGTGGAATGGTTGGTGCAAACGACAGACAGACCAAAGAAGTCATGAATGATATTTTTGGAGACAATGGGCTCTTAGCCGTTGATGACGAATATGAATTTGCAATGGTAAGTTTCGAGCTGGAAGAGAAGTACTGTACCAGTATGCCCAAATTTCTTCCGTACTTCAAAAAACTAAAAGCAACATTGCTGGAATATGTATTCCTTCCGAGCAAGAAAAATAAATCTGTCCCTATTACCTGGAAGAACAACTCATGCGAAAGCATGAATCACATTTCAAAACTTACGTGCGATTGGAAAGTCCAGAAAATTCCGGATTTAGTGGAAAAGCTGTACAAGATCGTCCAGCTCCAGTACGCAGATGTTAGGCGTGCTCTCTATGGGATGGGAAATTACGTAGTCGCTCCCTGGATGGCAAAGTTCAAAATTAGCCAAGCTAACTGGGCTGCCAAATCAATCATTGAAAAAGAAACTTGGTTTTTAAATTTCCTGAAAGGCGCACCCAAAGCGGAGAAAGCTGTGAAGTCAACAGACGGAAGGTTGACCATACCTAAGACTCAGAAAACTGCTAGGAAACCCGGTCAGCGAAAGAGAGTGAAATGTTCCAGAACTAAAAAATGTTAGCATATATGTAAATATTAAATTAAGTTAAATAAAATCACATAATTCATCAAAGATTATCACGTATAAACTCTTATTGTGTAGTATTGTCGGTCCCGGTCGGCCCCGGTCGGCCCCGGTCGGCCCCGGTCGGTCCCGGTCGGTCCCGGTCGGTGTTTAGTAGGACCCCATCTCACATTATAAACGCACCCGGGTATGCCTGCGCGATCTTCACAAAAACAATCAATCGAGTCATACACGTCACAGTTTTACTATTCATGTCTCATTTTAGCTTGAATGTTCAGACTTATGTATCACTTATATTTCATACCATTTTACAACTCATATATCACCAGTATCATCACTTTATATCTACATTATAAATCAAGCTTCACCAACATCATCACGGTCCATGCATCATCATAACATAATTCACTAAAATCATCACTATCTATCAGTCACATTGAATCGAAATTTCATTTCACTCCACACACCATTTGATGTTCACCCAATAGAATGTCCCAACAGGTCAGCAGGGCCATTTCACAGCATTCCAGGATCTGAATACCTGCAACCACCTTTTTGATCCAATTCTAAAAAAACAAACAACAAATTGCCTTTTGTAGCATCATCTGTTATCGAAAATAACTCGCCTTTAATTTTCTCGCTGCATGGGTATTTAGATGCATTTGATCTTTGTGGAGAATAACATGCCATTGGGGTCACTGGATTTGAAGCCTTTTCTATGTGGTCGCACGAGAATTCTGCTAATTAGCCGGATGCATGATAGGATGCTCGTCGCTGTTTGCACTTATCATGCAAACAAATCCAAAGATTATTTTCTTTACATACTAAGCATCGATCGCCCTGATTACTGGTTCGTACAGAAACAATATTTTCCGTAACTGACACTGCGTCAGGTATACTCTTTTTCTGCTTTTTAGGTCCAAGAAAACTTCCACCAAGTTTATAGCCACAAGCTGGACATTCTGAAGGCTTATGTCTATTCACATACTTGAATTTGTGGCACGATGGGCAAGTGCCAACACCACGACTTGTCCATTTTTTGCCACTATCTATGCTACATCCCTGTAACCAAGAGATAATAGAAAATCCATTCAGTTTTTAACTGGAAGTATTAAAGGGAAGACATGACTTAAGTGCAACCACTCCTGACAAAGAGTAAACTTTGAGGTAGAACATTCAAATGGAGGCGATCGATGATTAATTAATTAAACAAAGATATCAACTATCTTTATAAATTATATCCATGAGCCTCTGTCCATATAGTATAATAATTTATTAATTAATTAATAGTATTCATAGTATTCATGCTTTATACAGCTAGTGTTGTATTTTATAATTATTAAGGGATGTAACTTGCTAGCCTGTTTACAGCCTGAAATTTTGTTTTATTAAGACTAAGGAAAACCTGAGTACCTCGTTTGCATCCTCCCTTTTGGCAGGGCATTTTTAAATATCATAACATATTGGGGTATTTATATCAGTGCCAGAGGTGTAAAATGTATCTTAACCTGGGAACTTACTTCCCAAAAATTATTTGGAATCTACATTTTTTGATGTTTGATAGCTAATTCTGAAAATTACATGTACTGATTGAATAATTACAGTATCTAAATTACTAAATAATATGTGATTATTAAAAATTTGAAATGACTACTAACTCAAATTGGAATAGTTTTATTAAAAAATATTCATATAGCCTGCAATAGGAAATTTGTTTTTAATCCTGTTAAATTATAACTTTTCAGGATTTATGTTGTATGCCTTGTCTTAAAGACACATTGCTTCATATGACAACACTAGACAGTCACAAAAGAAGATTTTGTTATTTTTCTCTCTATATTGTGACCATTTGTGGAAAATTTTGAGCCCTAACCCAAGTTGTCAGAAAGAAAAAAAAATTTTCCACCTCTCCTCAGTAGGCCTCTTCCATTGTCCCACTATGGAAGGAAAAAATGGGGTTGCTGCCCCTGTGAAAGTTATAAATCTTTAAAGATAACAACCAATAATTATTTAATATTTTTGTTTTTAGTTTCCATTGCAGAGTGTGGAATATGTTATATGTAAAAGGAAAGTAAAACTTTTCTTTGTCAATTGGTCAATACCTCAGATCCTCTCCCCACCCCCCATCCCCTCCGTGACCTGATAACTATATTGAGGTTGTTGATGCCAATCTCGTTCCCAGAGTATGCCGTTCGCAGGTTAGGTGCTGAGCAGTGGTGGCATGACCAGTGAACTCTATAAATTTTAGAACGATAACTCCAGTAATCAAGCCCTATGATTGGTTGAAGCCAAATTTGATGCTAAGCACTCAGGATAAATTAACTTTCAAAAGCTTTCAAAAGGTCTAGGGAGAGTTTCAAGGAGCCAAAAGTTCAAAGTTTGTTTTTGAGCGAAAATTAGCAAAAAAAAAACTTTTCCATCAAAAGGATTCCATTTTAATTAAAGATTCAAACCTGAGTGTATTACATCCAGTAACAGCAAAAACTTTCTGGGAATCATTTTTGTATTCAAAATATTACGCAAGTTTGAACAATTGAACGTGCCGAAAAAATTTCGCACTTTGACTCCTGAGAAATACAGCTATTTAATTTTAGTGCTCAAAAACAGATGTCTTTACAATATTTCACAACCAAACTTTGCAATTTTACTAAATTTAGGACGCTCTTTCCAGCTGTACTGATGAATTTTCCTATTTCAAAATTTAGTTTAATTAATAGGGGAATGGTCCATTAAATATAAAATCTCATTCCGTTTCTCCATGCCAACACCTAACCTACGAACGGGCCATACTCTCGTCGATGCGCATTTTATAGTGTAGCAATCTTTGGGGGCCGCTTTCTCGTATGCAAAACCCTTAAATATAAATTTAGGTAAACTGCGCATATATCGAGAGATAAATTTTGGGAAATTGCACATTTTTCGAGAGAGAGACAATAATGGGTTTGGGTGCACTTGATAGTCCCAGTAATAATTAGTGCCATCAGGAGTTAGAGCAGACAGAGCGTGGCCATACCCATGGGGCCTTTTACACATTTTGTCCCAGTACTGAGAAATCTTTAAAAAATGCCCGGCCTTTTGGGCCATTGAATAGTTTATGTTATTTATACAACAAGCATCGACATCGATATTAAATAATCAACAGTTAGTAATACTATATACAAAGCGCAATAATCTGGAAAAGGCAAATGATTCTTGCGTGAATACATTAACAAACCAAAGCGCTACATCAACACTTAATTGCTGCGGAGCGATCGAGCCTGAAGCGAGCGAGCGTAGCAGCTGTCTAATATGTGCAGAGAGGGGGTTTTGAACTAAATTTTATTTAGCGCATGGAATTGTAGTCGTGCGCGATTTCTATGCGCAGAACACACATTTCTAAAGCTTTTTCATGTCTAATGTTACGCTTACATTTGTTTTGGACTTTGGCCACTGTCAGTTCTATATTTTTATAAAGTTTTGGTTTTTTAGTGTGATAAATCTGTGTAGTCTATATAATGTGGTATTAATGCGCCTAGCAGTAAACAGACTTGATATGAAATCTGATCTTAATTTACCTGTATGTCAATGAGACGCACATGTTTAATATCTGTCACCCCTGATTGCCCTTTAACCCCTGGTCTTTGCTACTACAACATATATTGCTTCTTCTCAGTTCCATTCACAGCTCACTAGTCGCTGCGAGTAATCACTGTGCTTGGTATAATACTGCATAGTGGCATGTCTATTTTACCAGAATTTTTTGCGAGCAGATCGAAATCTAATTATTGCATAAGATTTGGTTTAGTGTGACCATGTGACCCCGTGTGACCGGTTACAGTAACATAGCTAGCCTCTTTTGCCATTGAATATATCAAGCATCAGATGGAACTAGACGCAGCACTAAATAACAATGTCAATCACCTGGTATTCAATACTAGTTGATTGTTTCTTGCTTCCGAAGCGGATGTTGAATGACATTAATAAATAGTGTTCGGAATTAATTTGGTATACGAAAACAATTCAAAACCCTTACAAAACGAGCTATGAAAGGCCCTATTGAGAGTTAGAGATATATCTATTGCTCTGGCTTGTTTTTTCCTCATATATCTCACTTCACGAAAAGCTTTTTTCATATTATGTGCGTGTTAAATTAAAAGATCGCTCAAGCTGTTAGTTATATGATATGTTTTGCATCCCCTTCGATTTGCTACATTTGCTACAATTAATTAGTGGACAGCCAATCAGAAACGTCCTTCTTCAAGCTGAACCTCTACTGGATTTTCGACGGTGAAAATGTCAAATTATTTACCTGCGATTTAGTTTCTTTCAACATCCAAATGTTCTTCATTCTTCTATGATGTGTGCTTGTTCTCGAAATACCAGATTTGACTTGATTTCTTCGCATACTTATCGAGTATAAGGCGAAAACTCGGAAAAATATCAGTTTTACAATAGAAATCTACAGTCAAAATGTTTATAATTATATCAGTGGAAGCACAAGCTATGTGCGCAATGCCACATGGGATACTGTGATAGCGCTAGGCCGATAAAAAATTCATTTTCATTTCATTTTTGAAAAAAAAAGCAATTTATTTTGAAAAAACTTTTTTTTGTTATTTTCCTTTGAATTATATTTTAAAATTGTATTACATTTCAAATTAATTTTGATAGCGATAGGCCGATAAAATTTATATTCATTTTAATTTTGATTTTGATTTTATTTTCATTTTGATTTTGATTTTATTTTCATTTTGATTTTGATTTTATTTTCATTTTTATTTTGATTTTAGTTTCATTTTGAGTTTGATTTTATTTCCATTTTCATTTTGTTTTTATTTTATTTTATATAATAACAAAAAAATGAATGATAGCGATCGGCCACCATAAAAGTATAAACACACTGAAACTGCCTGTATTAAGCCGCAGTATTTATATAAATTGACGGAAATATTATGTAAATTTCGTCTCGTATTATGATACGTCT